AGAGGAACAACCTAGAGTGGGATAATGATAATCTTCGTAAACCGGCTGAAGTGTAGCTCTACTGTAGGAAGTTTGGTGCAGTATTCCACGATAGCGGCAAATTCTCCCATTCGAAATCAGAGCATACGTATCGAGAAAAGGAAATTGTGCATGACGCTCCATTCAGATAGTGCCAAAAGCAATTCAACAGCCAAGGCTTCATTTACATTGAAAATAGTTAAAAAGAAAAACTGATTTATAATGAAATGACTTCCATAATTACGAATGCTTATAAAATTTAACGAAATATGTTAATTCCACCACAATTTCTACTACCTATTCCCGATTAACGAATCGACTAGTTTTTTTTTGCTCACCTCTCCGTGCTCCAATCTTCCCTCCGGTGTATTTTCCGGCAGAAAATAAAGTCTCAGACTGGCTAGCACTTGTTCACTATTTTTGTCCGCCCACAACAATTGCAATTCCCCGATACACAGCAAGTCAGAGTCTCTCCACATTTTAACAAAGAAAAATTCACTTAGAGTCACTATCCGTTTGATACCATTTTTCGTATATTTGAACGCCTTGTAGAAACTGTAAGGTCCGTGTTGACCGCAAGGTCCACCCACAAACTAGAACAAAAAAACAAATATTATTATTAGGTATATCCTAGGTAGAATAAAGACAGTCAGGTACCTAGGTATGGCGATTTATCGAAAGTAGCTATACATATACTTATATTTCTGGCTTTCAATGCATTTATTCAAACTATGAACGATGAAATAAAGGTTGGGATTTTTTAAAACTAATAATGTATTAGATAAAACGATAAAAACTGTATTTACTGCATTATATTGTTGGAAAAGTGAGATTAGTGAGCAAATAATCGATAAGAATTTTTTTTCGTGCACGATCAAGCAGGCGTTCTTAATTTAATTATAGAATAACAATTAATTAATATTTATAGAACGTCACAATAACAAACAGTCATTAAATCGACTCTGGGTACAGTTAAAAAGTCCGTTTCTTCGCTAAAATATCCCAAACACCTTCAAAGTGATCATGTAATAATTTCGTACCTGTACATCGCTGTTATCCATATTTTTTCTCGATTAATCACAGAGCCACACTACAAACAACACGCTGACACGGACATCTACTTTGTATTTACTCTAATTATGTGACGTCACGATACAGCGCTACACTCGGCAGGGTCCGCCTGTCGTCGTGAAGCGCTCGGTTTAAACTGGCGCGCTGCGATATTGTTGTGGGAAACTAGAGTCTAGGGCGAACACCATGCGAGGAGTCGAATTTAGCCGAACGTCTGTTGGACAAGATCTGGTTTTCTTATTCACAGAGATGGAAACTTCAATGACAAAAATTGGTCTACCTGAAAAGAGGCATATTGTTGATAATATTATTGTTCACGTTCTTATCCTTTATCTACTATAGATACTGATTATTGGTACAACGATAAACTTATGAATACACTACCAACACCTAGGTAGTACACACGATGTTCTTCGAACATAATAGGAATTTCCTTTCGTGCGCTCCAAGAGATGGAACAATGTCTATACCGATTAGTTGTTGATTTCTACATTGATTGAAAATAAAGATGATGGTTTGTTTATTAGTTGATTCTCGTTAATGAAAAATCAATCAATCAAATCAATCGGGCGATTGTAATGGGGACACAAGGACAAACAAAGAGAAGTCCTTCAGACAATCATATAATATTAACTTCATTCCTCAATAATACTAAATTGACTATACAGGGGGAACTGTATGTTCGCCATGCTCTAGAGAGTTGTTTTTTGCGAAGTTTTTTGCTCTGCCATTCTTCAAGAGCAATAATTATAGAAAATGCCCGAAATCTGTGATGAAAACTGTTTTCACGCATATATAGGGTGAGTCAAAAATGTGTATCGAGCCTTCAGGAAATGCAAACATATATAGCATTTGTCACAGACATGTACTGTTTTTGTTCTTGTTCTAAATGCAACACTATGTTTTATGTTCTTAAAAAATAGTAAAAGAAAGTTTTTACCCAGAATTGATGAGTGTCTTGATTTCCCTTCAAAAACCACACATACCAAATGAAAATATATGTTTTTATCGAAATGTATAATTACACACAATTAAAATAGAAGGATCCATTACACAGTTTTGATTACAACTTCCACAAAACCATTTTTTTTAATCCAACCAGTTTCAAGAAAATCAATTTTGATGCTGAAAACAAACAATATGGAGTGGGCGCTATCAGAAAAATCCCGTTGTTAGTCAAGGCAGAAGGGTATTTTTACGTTCGGGTAAACTCGTCTCCTCATTGGGTGCTCGCCGTAGACTCTGGTTAATGGGAAAGGACGAGATGCGAGATGAGGATAGGACATAGGACGGAATATGAGAGACAGAAGACGAAACGAGCCGAAAAGCGAACCACGAGTCCACGAAACAGGACACAAAGAAATTGAAGTCCGCACAGTGAACAACTACCTATCGGCTCTCTGCTACAGCCACAAAAGTGAAATTATCATTATCGCTGTGATGTAAGTGTGCTCGATTTCGGTCTCGACGAATGTCGATGGTTTTATCATTCTTCGATTGCACCGTTGCGATTGGCGGGAGTACGGGAAGTTTTTGACAGCAATCGGATCGGAGGTGCCCGATTGTTTTGGTAGTTTGGTTAGGGGGTGCCTAAACACGTGATGTTTTGAAAACTAGTTCGGTTGGATAAACATTGATTCGGATCGGATTTGTTTATTTTGAATGATCACAGGACAAAGAATGTCTGCATGTGGTTGTTGTATCTTGTATGAAATTGGTTATTTGTACCTATTAGGCCGCGAAATTTTCGTACATTCGAACGCGAGGATTTCGCGTTTTCGACACTACGCGAAATTGAATTTCGCGGTCGTTACCCATAGCAACGGCCGTCAAACCAGTAGTCCCTTCCAAATTTGACATTTATGAACAATTCATGAGATACTAACGACAGTAACAGGGTTATATTATTCGTTATTATCAGTGTCAGACCATATTTTTCTTCTGTCAAAAATATTTTCTATACATGCAAACTTGTCATTTCCATACTAACGCTGTGACTTGTTAAACTGAAAACTTGATTTTTAAGCAATAATAATTATATTCATTCGCAATTATCTATATTCAGTAAAAAAAATTGTACAATCGTCGAAATTATTGAAGTAGGTATTTTTAATGTTTTTTGGTTTGATGATATTATTTTCACCATTCTTTCGATGCATAACATTTAAAAAACTGATCAGTTGTAGACAAAACGCAAATATAGAAATGTTGTCTTTTTTTGTTTTGTGTCTGGCGACCGCGAAATTTGATTTCGCATACTGTATCGAGTAGGTACGGGAAATAAGTTATACCCACTCTGTTCGCGTGCAATTTCACAAAAAATATTTTTTGTAAAAATACATTTTCAAAGAAAAATTCGTTTGAACTTTCTTCCTGATTTAGCTACAAGCTCTTCAAATTATGATACCTACTGCATATGCATATTTATGATGAAGTATGATAAAAATTCGATTTTTTTATCTGAGATTTGAGAAATCTCGGGCACATTATAGTTTTTCAAAAAACTGCTCATTCCAATATCACCTCTATATAGTTTGTCGTTCGGTATATCAGAAATATCGAATGTATGTCATAGCTTCATAATGCATGTAAATCAGTTATTTCCTGGGATGATATAAAGTAATCGTGAAATGTAAACAAAATATCACACCATGCCATGCCTACTTATTTTAGTTTGTTTATGCTCACTAATTAACCGTTTCACTTTATAATGATGACGTTGTAATGCTTTGCGCTGATGGTTGCATATACGTTACAGAAAAAAGTTCTACCTACATAATGGCATAGGCGTGTGTGAAATAAAAATGATGAAAACTTTCTAATGGATAATTATTTACAGAAAAACTATACTTATATTAATTCATTTCTATATTATCGCACTTAAACTCATACAGGATGATTAAACTCGAATTAAACTTATCGAAAACAAACACCTGATAATCATTTGAATATGACGCTTTGAATAGATATGGTTCGATGTGGTTCAGATGAAGAGGGATAGTGAAATGGGCTGCTCATTCACCTGATCTCAATCCTATTGTTTTTTTATATATGGGCTTATTCCATATATCTATTCAAAGGTTTATGTCAATCGATCACTGAATCTTCAATAATTTTGATAATTATAATCATATAACGAGATATAACTGAAAATATGCACTAATCTCGAGTTCGACTAATACATATATAGTGTCTCTATATTTTTTATACGACCGATATTTATGTCATTATATATTATTATAGAGACTACAGAGATGTAGCGGTTTTACCTTCTGAGAGGGTCGAAAATAAAAGGTTTTTGATTTTCTTGGACACCATCCAACTCATAACAAATTTGATACTCCATGCATCCATTTTTTATCAGGAGGTCGTAGCGAATCACAAAAATAAATAATGTTAATGATGAATAATCACACTTTTTTTTGACATCATCCAGAAGAAAATCAAAATTTCAAATGAATTTGATTTAGACTTACATCGAAAGAGAATCAGAATAACCACTTCCAGGGACGTTCTTACTATATTTCTTATACAGGGTCAAAGATGGAATACGTGGGTGCATTGAAAGATCATTCAACATGTTAATTTCGATATAACTCAAAATTTTAAGAACAAAATATCGCATGTATCGCATATATCTCTGAAAGTTTTTCTCCCAAATTCATCAATTTCAAAATTCGTTAAGCAAGAAGGAAGCATTCCAGACTATATTAATCAGTATTTTTTCCTTCCTCAACAAAAGATTTATTTAGTTATTGCTTTACGCACACGTGCGAAAGGGGAAGCTTACTGACAATGTTTTGTGTACAATATTCGTCTAGTAGTCGTAGGAAAAATATTTGTACTATTCTGATAAATACTCCAATCATTATTCTGATTGTTCGATGAATTAAAACAAAAAATCCATAATAAAGAGTCGTCGACAAATTTTATTGTTACAAAAATAATTTAATCTAATTATTGCACGCCCCATGCACTAGAGATTATAGGGCGCCGTGTCGAAATTCAGTCTTTCCATTTGCTCGTCGATCCAGCTCCGGAACCTGGCCACGTCAGCGTAAACGCCCGGTACATTTTGGGTGCCGCACCCGATGCCCCATGCGACGATGCCCACCTGCACGTATCTGGTGGGGTTGAGGGGGTCAGGACACACCAGGGGACTGCCACCATCACCCTGTACAGAAATCAACAGCCGAATGTATTGAGAATTCGAGGATGAACTATAATGATTGTAACATGAAATACATATATTGGTCAAACACGTCAGAGCATTAGCACAAGGTTTAAAGAACATATTGCTCACTTCAGACCTGGGTTAGCACGAATTAATTCATTTGAGTTAAGTCAGTGATTTAATTCGTGAATTCGTGAATTAATACGAATGAAAGTCATGAATTCAGACTTTTTCCAGTAGGAACAAGGTACATAACATTTACTGGTACTAATGGGAACTAACAAACAACCCTACCCATGAATCCAAAAATCCCAAGTATAATATCAGCACCTGGAAACAAATCCACCTGATCTGGTGAAATTGACACCGCAAGGAGTCAGAAAACCAAGAAATACAAAAGAAGAAGAAGAAGAAGATCTAAAAATCCCAAAAAATTCATAGACACTAATTCAGACCCATAAAGAACGAATTCGATTTCAGATTTGAGAAATAACCCTTTCCCTAGATTTTCAAAATCAGCGCTTCACGCGATGCAGTAGGCTGATATTGGTCGAAAAATATTTTTTTCCTGATTGACCTAAAAATCCCAAAAAATTCATAGACACTAATTCAGACCCATTAAGAACGAATTCGATGTCAGATTCGAGAAAGAACCGTTCTCCTAGATTTTCAAAATCAACGGTTCAAGCGATGCAGGCTCATACTGGTCGAAAAATATTTTTCTCCTGATTACCTAAAAATCCCAAAAAATTCATAGACACTAATTCAGACCCATAACGAACGAATTCGATGTCAGATTTGAGGAAGAACCCTTTCCCTAGATTTTCAAAATCAGCGGTTCACGCGATGCAGTATGCTGATACTGGTCGAAAAATATTTTTTTCCTGATTGACCTAAAAATCTCATAAAGTTCATAGACACTAATTCAGACTCATAAAGAACGAATTCGATGTCAGATTCGAGAAATAACCCTTTCCCTAGATTTTCAAAATCAGCGGTTCACGCGATGCAGTAGGCTGATACTGGTCGAAAAATATTTTTTTCCTGATTGACCTAAACATCTCATAAAGTTCATAGACACTAATTCAGACCCATAAAGAACGAATTCGATGTAGGATTCGGGAAATAACCCTCCTCCTAGATTATCAAAATCAGCGGTTCAAGCAATGCTGTAGGCTTATACTGGTCGAAAAATATTTTTCTCCTGATTGACCTAAAAATCCCAAAAATTTCATAGACACTAATTCAGACCCATAAAGAACGAATTCGATGTCAGATTTGAGAAAGAACCCTTTCCCTAGATTTTCAAAATCAGCGGTTCACGCGATGCAGTAGGCTGATACTGGTCGAAAAATATTTTTTTCCTGATTGACCTAAAAATCTCATAAAGTTCATAGACACTAATTCAGACTCATAAAGAACGAATTCGATGTCAGATTCGAGAAATAACCCTTTCCCTAGATTTTCAAAATCAGCGGTTCACGCGATGCAGTAGGCTGATACTGGTCGAAAAATATTTTTTTCCTGATTGACCTAAACATCTCATAAAGTTCATAGACACTAATTCAGACCCATAAAGAACGAATTCGATGTAGGATTCGGGAAATAACCCTCCTCCTAGATTATCAAAATCAGCGGTTCAAGCGATGCTGTAGGCTTATACTGGTCGAAAAATATTTTTTTCCTGATTGACCTAAAAATCCCAAAAATTTCATAGACACTAATTCAGACCCATAAAGAACGAATTCGGTGTCAGATTTGAGAAAGAACCCTTTCCCTAGATTTTCAAAATCAGCGGTTCACGCGATGCAGTAGGGTGATACTGGTCGAAAAATATTTTTTTCCTGATTGACCTAAAAATCTCATAAAGTTCATAGACACTAATTCAGACCCATAAAGAACGAATTCGATGTCAGATTCGGGAAATAACCCTTCTCCTAGATTATCAAAATCAGCGGTTCAAGCGATGCAGTAGGCTTATACTGGTCGAAAAATATTTTTTTCCTGATTGACCTAAACATCCCAAAAAATTCATAGACACTAATTCAGACCCATAAAGAACGAATTTGATGTCTGATTCGAGAAAGAACCCTTCTCCTAGATTTTCAAAATCAGCGGTTTAAGCGATGCAGTAGGCTTATACTGATCGAAAAATATTTTTTTCCTGATTGACCTAAAAATCCCAAAAATTTCATAGACACTAATTCAGACCCAAAACGAATGAATTCGATGTCAGATTTGAGAAAGAACCCTCCTCCCCACGCGATGCAGTAGGCTAATACTGGTCGAAAAATATTTTTTTCCTGTATGACCTAAAAATCACAAAAAATTCATAGACACTAATTCAGACCCATAACAAACGAATTCGATGTCAGATTCGAGAAAGAACCCTTTCCCTAGATTTTCAAAATCAGCGGTTCACGCGATGCAGTAGGCTGATACTGGTCGAAAAATATTTTTTTCCTGATTGACCTAAAAATCTCATAAAGTTCATAGACACTAATTCAGACCCATAAAGAACGAATTCGATGTCAGATTCGAGAAATGACCCTTTCCCTAGATTTTCAAAATCAGTGGTTCGAGCGATGCAGTAGGCTTATACTGGTCGAAAAATATTTTTTTCCTGATTGACCTATAAATCCCAAAAAATTCATAGACACTAATTCAGACCCATAAAGAACGAATTCGATGTCAGATTCGATAAAGAACCCTTCTCCTAGATTTTCTAAATCAGCGGTTTAAGCGATGCAGTAGGCTTATACTGGTCGAAAAATATTTTTTTTCTGATTGACCTAAACTTCCCAAAAAATTCATAGACACTAATTCAGACCCATAAAGAACGAATTCGATGTCATATTCGGGAAATAACCCTTCTCCTAGATTGTCGAAATCAGCGGTTCACGCAATGCAGTAGGCTGATACTGGTCGAAAAATATTTTTTCCTAATTGACCCAAAAATCCCAAAAAATTCATAGACACTAATTCAGACCCATGAAGAACGAATTCGATGTCAGATTCGAGAAAGAACCCTTTCCCTAGATTTTCAAAATCAGCGGTTCAAGCGATGCAGTAGGCTTATACTGGTCGAAAAATATTTTTTTCCTGATTGACCTAAAAATCCCAAAAATTTCATAGACACTAATTCAGACCCATGAAGAACGAATTCGATGTCAGATTCGAGAAAGAACCCTTTCCCTAGATTTTCAAAATCAGCGGTTCACGCGATGCAGCAGGCTTATACTGGTCGAAAAATATTTTTTTCCTGATTGACCTGAAAATCCCAAAAAATTCATAGACACTGATTCAGACCCGTAACTAATGAATTCGATGTCAGATTTGAGAAAGAACCCTTCTCCTAGATTTTCAAAATCAGCGGTTCACGCGATGCAGTAGGCTAATACTGGTCGAAAAATATTTTTTTCCTGATCGACCTGAAAATCCCAAAATATTCATGGACACTAATTCAGACCCATAAAGAACGAATTTGATGTCAGATTTGAGGAAGAACCCTTCCCCTAGATTTTCAAAATCAGCGGTTCACGCAATGCAGTAGGCTGATATTGGTCGAAAAATATTTTTTTCCTGATCGACCTGAAAATCCCAAAATATTCATGGACACTAATTCAGACCCATAAAGAACGAATTTGATGTCAGATTTGAGGAAGAACCCTTCTCCTAGATTTTCAAAATCAGCGGTTCACGCAATGCAGTAGGCTGATATTGGTCGAAAAATATTTTTTCCTAATTGACCTTAAAATCCCAAAAAATTCATAGACACTGATTCAGACCCATAAAGAACGAATTCGATGTCAGATTCGAGAAAGAACCCTTCTCCTAGATTTTCAAAATCAGCGGTTCAAGCGATGCAGTAAGCTTATACTGGTCGAAAAATATTTTTTTCCTGATTGACCTAAACATCCCAAAAAATTCATAGACACTAATTCAGACCCATAAAGAACGAATTCGATGTCAGATTTGAGGAAGAACCCTTTCCCTAGATTTTCAAAATCAGCGGTTCACGCGATGCAGTAGGCTAATACTGGTCGAAAAATATTTTTTTCCTGTTTGACCTAAAAATCCCAAAAAATTCGTAGACACTAATTCAGACCCATAAAAAACGAATTCGATGTCAGATTCGGGAAATAACCCTTCTCCTAGATTATCAAAATCAGCGGTTCAAGCAATGCAGTAGGCTGATACTGGTCGAAAAATATTTTTTTCCTGATTGACCCAAAAATCTCATAAAGTTCATAGACACTAATTCAGACCCATAAAGGACGAATTCGATGTCAGATTCGGGAAATAACCCTTCTCCTAGATTATCAAAATCAGCGGTTCAAGCAATGCTGTAGGCTTATACTGGTCGAAAAATATTTTTTTCCTGATTGACCTAAACATCCCAAAAAATTCATAGACACTAATTCAGACCCATAAAAAACGAATTTGATGTCAGATTTGAGAAAGAACCCTATCCCTAGATTTTCAAAATCAGCTGTTCACGCGATGCAGTAGGCTAATACTGGTCGAAAAATATTTTTTTCCTATTCGACCTAAAAATCCCAAAAAATTCGTAGACACTAATTCAGACCCATAAAAAAAGATTTCGATGTCAGATATGAGAAAGAACCCTTTCCCTAGATTTTCAAAATCAGCGGTTCACGCGATGCAGTAGAGGCTAATACTGGTCGAAAAATATTTTCTTCCTGATTGATTCAAAAATCCCAAAAAATTCATAGACTCTAATTCAGGCCCGAAAAGAACGAATTTGACGTCAGATTCGAGAAAGAACCCTCTCCCTAGATTTTCAAAATCAGCTGTTCACGCGATGCAGTAGGCTAATACTGGTCGAAAAATATTTTTTTCCTATTCGACCTAAAAATCCCAAAAAATTCGTAGACACTAATTCAGACCCATAAAAAACGATTTCGATGTCAGATATGAGAAAGAACCCTTTCCCTAGATTTTCAAAATCAGCGGTTCACGCGATGCAGTAGAGGCTAATACTGGTCGAAAAATATTTTTTTCCTGATTGATTCAAAAATCCCAAAAAATTCATAGACTCTAATTCAGGCCCGAAAAGAACGAATTTGACGTCAGATTCGAGAAAGAACCCTTCTCCTAGATTTTCAAAATCAGCGGTTCAAGCGATGCAGTAGGCTTATACTGGTCGAAATTTTTTTTCCTGATTGACCTAAAAATCCCAAAAAATTCGTAGACACTAATTCAGACCCATAAAAAACGAATTTGATGTCAGATTTGAGAAAGAACCCTCTCCCTAGATTTTCAAAATCAGCTGTTCACGCGATGCAGTAGGCTAATACTAGTCGAAAAATATTTTTTTCCTATTCGACCTAAAAATCCCAAAAAATTCGTAGACACTAATTCAGACCCATAAAAAACGAATTCGATGTCAGATTTGAGAAAGGACCCTTTCCCTAGATTTTCAAGATCAGCGGTTCACGCGATGCAGTAGGCTTATAATTTCATTACAACCATATATGTAATGTTGTCATTACTAACATCATTGAAGGTTGGGAAGTGTCACATTACGCACCTCTACTTCCCGCTCTCACTTCCCGCCGTCACTCATGTAATAAGTCAGGTATGTTCAGAACGAAACATAGATTTATTTATTTTGATCGAAATATGATGGTTGTAAATAAAATAGTATACAAACCTCAGTAGGAAGTTTTATTCCTGTCTCGAAATTATAGCTAACCTCGAGCTTTGCGTCTTAGTTAACTAACTTATCTCACGACAGGAATGAATCACTTCCCACCTAGGTGTGTAATATACTATTACCTATTACTAAGGTTATATTGTGATATTCTGGTCCGGTCTGGACTATCAACCCTTCAAATTATGACGTTGAGTTTTGGGATTCCCTGTACTTCCTGAATTAAACCAAACATCGCTTGTTACGGCAATTGTGGGACACCCTCTATTTTATAATACCAAAATCTAATGCCGTTATTGATATGTTGAATATACCAAAATCCACTGCTGTTTTTAAAATTTGGTGGATGCGGGAGCCACCACCAAAATTGTAAATTAAACTTATGTGAGAAACAGAGCGACGTCTCTATGCCTTTGATTTTTTCAAAATTCAATACAAATTAATCGGTTATTCATAATTATTATCATTGATTTCATATAGAAGGTTAATGATCGCCATACTTATTCAAATATCATATCCACAACTGTAGTGACGAGAACACATCTATATACTAAAAAAATCCATAATTTTCTTTTTTTCACTTTACTCACCGTACACGCATCTTTGCCTTGTTCTCCTCCTGCACACATGAAACTACTGTGCAGACTGAAACCTTGTCCTAACCTAGTATTTTTCAGGGCATTTTGACATCTTTGGCGGTCCACAGTTGGCAGCTGGATTTTCTTCAAAATCGCTTGAAACTCTCCTTGTTTACCTTCAAAAAAATATATCTCGTTATAGTATTTCATGTAACGATCATGTAATGAAAGCTATTAATACACAAGCACGAGGTACGAGAATGTTTGTTACAAGATCGTTGTGTACACTTTTTTCTATGGACTATAAATAATTGAACAAAAACGAGATGAAATATATTTTTTGCCGACCTCTACAAAAAATCACATTTATAAGGTCCTAATTTCCGAACAAATTGATATTCGAGTGAATTTTTTTCATCAGTCTGCAGTTTTCCATTACTATATAATTAAACAGCATTGCGAAGGAGTGAGGTTTCAAAAAATTTTCTCTGAAGAACGAAATCATATTTTTAGCTATCATAGGCACTTGATATGATGATATCATTTGATGGCATACTTGATTTCCTATGATGACATACTCAATTTTCTATGATGGAATACTCAATTTTCTATAATGCATAATCATTTCTGATTCTCCGCCATTACTTTCTAAAAAAACAGATAGTTGAACAACACAGGACCATCCAATCCCATGATGGCATAGTATGCTATCACCTAGTAGTATGATGGCATTCTATGCCATCAAAGGTCAATGTTAGGTATGCCAACATGCGGAAACTGCATGATTTTGAAAATTATTTTTTTCTACGCTAATCTTGTATGCAATATTCAATGCATCATATGGGTTGCAAGGTAATGGTTATTGAACCTTTATGGAGAAATATGAATGAAAAAAAAAATAAGCAAACATTTTTTATATCAGTAGTCAACAAATATAGATTATTCTCGTGAAAATTTAAAGGGGCCACATACACCTTTCAACATCTAGAGGACAACTAAATCATTCGTTATGCCGACGTGGAAACAATACAGCTCTCCAAAATATCCGATGGAAGGGGAAATATGGCGACTATGCCTACTTGGGAACTATATGCCTAGTAAGGCGGTTCTCCCCTACATGTCAAAATTAGAAACAACATTTTTAAATCGACGTACCGAAGGTGTCTTTGCCCCATCCGCTGACGAAGCACTCCCTCGAAACGACCCTCTGGCCTTGCGTGGGCAGACACACCGTGCCCACATTGTCCGCCCTCACTATGGGCCTGTCCAGCACCAGCAGCGCCACGTCGTTGAAGAGGTTGCCCGAGTTGAAGTCGCTGCGCGCGACGATGTTGACGACGTTGCGCTCCTGGTAGGGCAGCCGCTCTCTGGCAGTCTGCGTGTCCCATTCGCCTGCCCTTATGGACAGGTCCTCCGTTCTGGCCCTGCAAATAGAGATGTTGATGATGTGATAGTTATTCTGCCGTGCTAAGCTCAGAAGCGATAACTGACATTTACAAGGAAATTGAGATATTAACTCCACATAAATGTATGAAAATCTGTCTAAAACTAGAGTTTCATAGCGGTAAATATCTTTTTTCTACTCACATAACTAAAATGGCATTTAGCGTACGGATATGCGTACGACGCTAAATGATCGATTAATCACAAATTGACGATCTGTGATTTATTCGAAATATTAAACGATTTCTTAAACACAACAACGCAGTTCATTAAACATAGCTTCAGTGATTTGAGACATGTCTGGCCTGTCAATTGTATTAACTGTCAACTGTTATTTTCGAATTTTGTATCAGAATTATTCAAACAATATTTGTTTGTATCAGAATTCTTCATTAAAAATATATGCGAAAAGTAGACGAAAGTGAAATCGAAGAGAATGTTCTGGTCTTCTGGTACTTGCATATCTCCAAGAAGTGTAAAAATGAAGCATCCATCTTTGAGAACAATTTATTGATTTTGCGCTAAGCATGACAATAAACGTGAAACAAAGGTTAGTAAGCAATGGACTGGACACATCTACAACCAATATCACTTATACGTGTCTCGCTGGTTGCATGCAGTTGCTTGCATTGTTCTCAATTCCCATTCCTTTCAAATTATTTTGTAGGTTAGCAGGTATAGCAGGTATGATAATGCAATTTTCAGAGTTCGTAGAAAAAGCATAGTATGTAACACGTTTATAAACTCTTCTAGGCACTCGTTTATTAAACACTCGCTCCGCGTTTATAACACTTGTTACATAATATGCTATTAATTGTTTCGGTTACAGAAAAAATAGCATGTTTCATTCGGATCAAAAGTTCGATCATAATAAAACAATCTACTATTCCCTGCCTAGACAGAAAAAGTATATATCTCATGTTTGTTACGTGTCAGAGAATAGTAGATTGTTTTATTAGGATCAAAAGTGACACTTTGTTTGACAAGCGAATTTTGCATTTGCGAGGCGGAGCGTTTAGCGAAGCCGAGCGAAAGCAAAATTTGCGAGTCGAACAAAGTCACTTTTGATCCGAATGAAACACGCTATTTTTTCTGCAACCGATGTTCTAGGATGTTCGAATTGTAGTTTCGATATAAATACAACCACAGAGTGACATATTTGTGTATGGATAATAGTGATTATTTATTCCTCTCTATACTACACTGTGTTTGACTTGATAATCAAATGAAGCTAAACAATATTGTTGTTTGAAACAAAAAAACTATTGCTTGCCGTGATTATTCAAAAACAAGATATTCATCCCGAGAATAACGAATGAAATACAGATCAAGCAAGTATTTGAATCTTGAAGGCTTTCCTGATAAAAACGAAAATACTTGACTGAGATGTTTATACTTCCAATACTAAACTATAATAAGGTGTATTTATATCTCCAGCATGGGTATGAAATGCCAAATCTGCTGAAATCGGAAACAAATCAGGTATGCATCTCAACCCAAATTGATGACGTCCAGTAGATCCTTTTCAGTTCCTAGGAGCTAAAGTTCAACTTAGCTCCTAGGAACTAAAATTCAACTTAAGCTCCTAGGAACTAAATATGTTGCCTAGCAACATACCTATTTTTGTGTCAGTAATAGAAACGTCAATTTAAGAGCTAACTTTGGCATCAAAATGGACGACTTTTGTGTCGGCTGCAGAAAAAAGCCACTTTCCCTGCTGCTTGGAGAAAGAAAAATTGACGACCCTTACTTGAAAACGCAATGCGCTCCAGTTAGCACCACGTTCGGGGTGAGCAACGAACCTCCGCAAATCAGCTTGTTCGGCCCCAAACTCGGGTTCCCATTCTTGTTCAGAACGGCCACCATCCAGGGAAATTCCCCGTACTCGGCCTCGTTGTCTCTCTGGCCGGTGATCTGGAAATCTATGCCCGATGGGTGCCTGATGCCGCAGAAGCTCTGCGCCGGCGCTGTGGTCACCGGCGGCACTATGGGGGTGAAGGGTGGAGGGGTGGTGGGAGGTGAAGAGGTGGGGGGAGTGGGCGGGTCGCCCGGCTGGGGCAGGTTGGGGTCGAGGCCGCCCTCGGGCAGCTTGCAGCACACTTCCAGCGGGTGGGTGCAGCTGTTCTCGCCGAATCTGCAAGAACAAAGATTTTTGAGTTGATTGTAACGCTAGGTCCAAACAATTTTGTGTCAATCCAGGTCCACACCGGGTTGTGATTATTATAGCTAGAGTTCCTGAATCTACTTGACACTGCTGTTTTGACGTTTTTTGTATATTAGAGGTTTTTTTATGTTCTGGTTCCCACGAAAAGGGATATCCTGTAATGTTCAGAGAACATCGTGAGAACCAAGGGAAATAAAGTAGGAATTGGTGTTATTCTTGAATTTCTGGAGGTTATATGCCTCGGGGAACCCCTCCCTTGGCAAAGTATTCCAGAGCCTCGCTGTTCGTTTGGTGAACGAGTCTTTGGAAAGAGATGTTCTGCAGGTCTCCAAAGTGACCACGAAGGTGTGCGAAGCCTCCACTCGACGGGTTAATCTCGCGGGGACTGCCAAGGGAGGAACAATTGTCGATATTTCAGAAGAGCATCGTCCCTGGAAATATCTATAAAATAGAGCCAGATCGCCAACTATTCTACGGTGTTCCAGAAAAGTGAGTGAGTTTGTGAGCGATGCATCACCCACGAGACGAATTTTCTTTTTTTGGACAGAATCCAACAGTTTCAGGGTATGTTTGGGTGCTGCTCTCCAAATATGGGAACAGTATTCGAGGACAGGTCGGATCTGTGCCTTATAGATCATAAGCAGCTGACTTCAAGTTGAATAGCTCCTGGCTCGAAACAGAACAGTTTTTGAAATGCACTTTTAGCAATTGATCTCACGTGATTTTCCCAAGAAAGGTTATTGCTGATAGTAATACCAAGCATCGAAGGTATGGTTACTCCTGAGAAGCTTATGTTGGGCACAGTGAGATCGGCTCTTCTAGAGAAAAGGCTTGTGTTTTGTTTGCATTGAAATCTACCAAGTTGTTAGTTCACCCAGTCCCAGATATGAATAATACCACTGGAATGCATTTTCACCGAGCTATTCAATGAGGTATCACAAGAAGGGGCTAGCTACTATTGAAATGATATGCGTTGGGGTGGTTTTCGTAGAATTTTGTAGAAATCTTATCGTTTGAGAAGTTTTTAAAATTATAATAGTAGTAAGTACTCAAGTAGGCTCTGATCAGATTTCTGCATCTCCTTCATGCAAGAAACATGGAAAACCTATCAGATAGTCAGAAACCATACTTCCTCTTCAAGAACGATATTATTTGGTTAGCGTTCTCTGACAGATTTCCTGCCCACATTTAATTATCTATTATTTACTAAACCACATCCAGAGTGTCTTGGGTAGATGTATCTTTTTATCAAGCCATTGACAACTAATATTCTCCGTGGTAAAATATGTCTATATACATTGATAAAACTAGATAATAAATAGTGGTCATGACAAAGGTGAAATCAAATGTTAATGAACCAGTGATGATTTCTAGGAATTTTCATATTAGTTTGATAATTATGTCTCAATCATTATTGTTTTCTATGCATGCGCTTCAAAATTTACAGATGATGAATTATTATTATTATTATGTTCTGGAGGTGATAAAAATGTATGTGACTTCGCACACTACATGAAAAGAATCGATGATTTTTCAGAGTAATTATGGAATTCGTTTACGTCGAATATACGTGGTGGTTCGAATAAAGTAACTAAATTTACAGATTCTGATGAAGCTGTTGAAAACAATTCAATATCCCTCATTTTTTAACAAGAATGATAACTTGTAATACATTATGAGGTATGAGATACAACAGATTCTATATATATATATATAAAAGTCTCCCAGCTAATTTTTGTTCGATTTATTATCGAAGGCACATATTCGATGTCAATTTATGGAATGAAAATTACCTGATGTCGATGATTCCAAAACCATCAGTGACTCCAGTTTGAACTACCGTTTTGGTTTTTCCATCACACATATAATAGGAAACACAAATGTGGACCCCTTGATCAGATCCTTCCCCACATCTCTCTATGGCACCCAAACTTCCCCCAGTAGGTCTAGTCACTTCTTCAAATCCTATCAAAAAAGTATTATAGTAACAATTAGGTACAAACAAAAAATTATTTGACGCAGATGAAGTCTATGATAAGATATTTGAAATTTGGAAAAAGTTACTTGAATGAGATGTCATTTCCTTCTGGAAAATGTGTTCTCTGCTTGATTTTATCATTTCATATACAGGGTATGTGAAAAAAAATTTTTTTTTCAAATGGAACCCCCTGTATATTATCGCATATTTCGAAAGAGCTATCTTTCCTGATTTTGAAAATATATACTTTCCATATATTCTATCGAGTGCTTGACGAAATATCAGCAAAATTAAATATTAATATTTGGTCCAAGTTAGCTATGGTTGAAATAGAATGAGATGATGAATAAGTGAATTGACATTTGGTCAACATTTCAGTGACATAAGTGCGCAAAATTTCGACACTTTTTTCACGATGCCATATCCACTGGAACAAAGAAGAGATATTTTGGAGTGCTATTTTTCAGTTAATAAAAATCTTGCTGAAACACTTCATAAGTTTATGAGGAGTTATCCAGGCAGGAGATTACCAAGTAAGAATTATGTAAAGTATTTGGCTGCTAAATTTGACAGAACTTCCAGTTTGTCGATTATAAAGAGAATAGTGAGAAGGCAAGACAACGAAGACTAGGAACTTCTTGTAATCCAGTATTTTGTTGAGGATCCTTCACGGTCATTAAGAAATGCAGTGAGAGAGTTTGGTTTCAGCTATTATTTTGTTCAACATACCTTGAGGAAATATAAATATAGGGATTTCAGAATCAGACCATGCCACAAACTCAATTATGATGATAATGAGAAGCGGATTGAATTTTGTCTTGTCATATCTGAAAGATTAAATTTAAGTAAGTATAAGTGTAAGTGTTTCAGCAAGATTTTTATTAACTGAAAAATAGCACTCCAAAATATCTCTTCTTTGTTCCAGTGGATATGGCATCGTGAGAAAATTGTCGAAATTTTGCGCACTTATGTCACTGGAATGTTGGCCAAATGTCAATTAACTTATTCATCATCTCATTCTATTTCAACCATAGCTAACTTGGACCAAATATTAATATTTAATTTTGCTGATATTTCGTCAAGCCCTCGATAGAATATATGAAAAGTATATATCTCCGAAATCAGAAAAGATAGCTCTTTCGAAATATGTGATAATATACAGGGGGTTCCATTTGAAAAAAAAAATTTTTTTCACGAACCCTGTATATGAAATGATAAAATCAAGCAGAGAACACATTTTCTAGAAGGAAATGACATCTCATTCAGATAACTTTTTCCAAATTCCGAATATCTTTTTTCGTTTTCGAGATATTAGCTGTTGAAGTCGAGAAATTCATAGTCAATCACCCTGTACATTTTTTTTCCACGAAAATAATTGGGAAAATGGTGGAAAGACGAAAAAAAGAGCTTTTGTATGAGCTTTTTCCCAAATAAACCTACTCATTCGAATATATTCGAAATAATATAATTTTTTTCGAGAGAGACTCTGAATCCTTCAAGATTGGTCAGACAGCAAAAATATAACTCAATGTTTGTTAGTTCCCTCAGTAGTTTGTTATCTTAACGAGATTTTTTCCATTTTTCTTAAATTTTTTCCTTTCCATCAGTATGTAATATACTTTCCAATTTGAATTTTGATGAAAAGCAATTCATTTGATTTCTTTATAAGATTAGTTTTTTACTTTTTCATATAATTAAAGGCTATTTCTATGATAAGTATCCGTGTGTAAAAGTCTCACAAGTATTTGTATCACTTCGAAGTTTTTTCAAACAGCGTCTTAAAGTTTTGTCGGAACCGGATCATGTTGGGAATTCCATCATTACCTGGCAAAAATTCGCCATTCCTGGTACTATTCGGATTACCATAAATCTCCTCGACGTTCCTTCTGAGTTCCTCGTCAATTTGTTGCCCATGGACGGTACAAAAAACCGACGCAAAAACTGCTAGCCACCACCTCATCTTCGAAGATTTCAAGGCCAACTGGAGATCACTTTACAACTTCACCATGTGAACTGACTGCTCCTTGAATTGGTTGAATACAGCGATGTTGATTGCTGTTTGCCCCCACCGGAGTTGGTTCCATTTGACGGGTATGCTGGAAATACCAGGCTAGATTTGCATCTTAGACCATTCGTGACGACAGCCCAATGACATTGATTTCCATAAATGTTTTGGTGCGGGGGTCATCTGCTTTGGCCTTTTGTTGAAGATTTGGATATTCTAAACGTTGATATTTTAGGATTACGCAACTTGTTTAGTTTGGTTCAAGATTGTTTTCATAGAAATACATATTTTTTTGAATTAGAATTGACCCCAACGTTGTTGAAGCAAACATTAGAGAGCACCCAGCACAAAAAATGTTCGAAATTCTGCGTATATTGAATTTATTCTAATATTTGAACAAATAAACCGTTTACGAGGAGATATTATCTCAGAATTTTGATGCTCACTTTTTGTAAGAATAGCATTGCGATGAAGTATAAGTAAAGCAGATACTTATAGGTATGGTTAATTTTCTTACTGTTTTCAACTTATATTCTCGAAATCATTGTACTACCAATTTAACTATTTTTCTGAATTAATCCATAATTCGGAATTCACGGTTACTGATTCACGAATATATTTAACAATTAATTGTTCATATCCCATGATAAACAAGTTAATATGTATAGAACTTGTTCTATTATCTTCATATTAAAACCATGCTATTTGGAGGACTACAATAATTACAGATACCACAAGGTCAGTCTGTACGAGCCTCATTGTTGTTTACAAAATATTCATCTACTGAATTACCTATACATACAAAATAAATTTTCAAAATTCATAGAAGCATGTTGAGTAAATACAATTTTTCAAGTATCCTGAAACCAGATAGCAATTCTATGTCTTCTTCAGTCGACGGAGTTTCATCTGACTCTCTTATCATAAATGCTGGTGTTCCGCAAGGATCAATTCTAGCACCAACACTATTTCTACTCCATATCAACGATTTGTTGAAAGCAACTCCATGTCCAGTACACAGCTTCGCGGATGATAGTACCCTCCATACCCCCTTCTCTTCCAGGGCTCCAATACAAGCCAGGCAAATCAGAAACAAACGAGGGAGAAATGTTGACAACATAAATACGGATTTGGCAACAATTCTCGAATAGGGATCCAATAACTTGGTAGATTTCAATGCAAACAAAACACAAGCATGCCTTTTCTTTAAAAAATCCGATCTTGCTGTGCCAAACATAAGCTTGTCAGGAGTAACCATACCTTTGAAGACACCCGTTTCGATGCTTGGTATTACTATCAGCAATAACCTTTCTTGGGAAAATCACGTGAGATCAATTGCTAAACGTTCATCCCAACAAATTTGGTTTCTGTTCCGGGCCAGGAGCTATTTCACTTAAAGTCAGCTGCTTATGATCTATAAGGCACAGATACGACCTGTCCTGGAATACTGTTACCATATTTGGAGTGCAGCATCCAAACATACCCTGAAACTGTTGGATTCTGTCCAAAAAAGGGCAATTCGTCTCGTGGGTGATGCCTCGCTCACAAACTCAGTCACTTCTCTGGAACACCGTAGAAAAGTTTGCGATCTGGCTCTATTTTATAGATATTTTCATGGACGATGCCCTTCTGGAATATTATCAATTGTTCCTCCCTTGGCAGTCCCCGAGAGATTAACCCGTCGAGTTGAGGCTTCGCACCCCTTCGTGGTCGCTTTAGAGACCTGCAGAACATCTCTTTCCAAAGACTCGTTCATACAACGAACATTGAGGCTCTGGAACACATTGCCAAGGCAGGTGTTCTCCGAGGCATATAACGTCCAGAAATTCAAGAAGAACACCAATTCCTACCTTATTTCCCTTGGTTCTCACGATGTTCTCTGAACTTTACAGGATATCCCTTTCGTGGGAACCAGAGCATAAAAAAATAAAAATATATTGACTGATTGACTGGCGGCTATTTTACTAAACGTTTGGTATTCACTGATGATTATTTGTGTATATTAATAGAAATGGATTGAAACAGAAGAGTTCAAGTCAAAGTTATAATTTTATGTAAAACAGCAATATTATACAATTTATAATTCTGCTTGATACACTGATGATGTCAAGTTGAAGGACTCCATTTTCTCATCGATCCAGTTCCTGAATTTGGCCACGCTGGTGTATACCCCCGGCACATTCTCTTTGCCGCACCCAATGCCCCAGGATACTATACCAGCCTGAAAATACCTCCCGTTGGTCTCACTGAAGGGACAAACGAGCGGTCCACCTCCATCCCCAACGCAAGTGTCTACGTCTTTCTGGCCACCGGCACATATGAAGTTCTCGTGCAGTCGGAAATACGGTCCCAGTCGAGTCTGGCGCAAATCGTCCTGGCACGTAACTCTGTCAACCATCGGCAGCTCGATCCTCTTCAAGATGTGCTGCTGTTCGCTTTCTAAGCCGTAGAAATCTCTGCCCCAGCCGGTGGCGATGCAATCTTCCGCTTCCGTAACATGGTCTTGATCCGGCAGACAGACCATCGCGAGGTTTTTCTCCATCTCGAAGGGTGTCTCCAGCACCAGGAGCGCTATGTCATTGTGAGCTGTTCCGGCGTGGAAGTTATGGTGTATAGCCGTAAATTGGACTTCTCTGTCTTGATGCGGGTACAACTTGTTGTCGTCCATGGTGTCCCATTCACCAGCTCTGGCCGTGTATTTGGCCCGCCGATTCCTGAGGCAATGAGCGGCCGTCAGCACCACTTGGGGGTGTATAAGCGATCCGCCACACTGGTAGAGGAGGTCCGTGTCGTCTGGGTCGTAATCCTCGTCGTAGGACGATACGTCTGACGACTGGTTCGTTCTCATGATGGCGACCATCCACGGGAATTCTGCGAACTGCGCTCTGGTAGCAGTTGTAGGAGATTCGGCTATGGGGGCGACTGGGACGCCCAAGCCGTTGGGGTAGCGATAGCCGCAGCCCATCTGTTCGTTGAAGGTGACCGTGGACGTGGTGGGTTGCTTGAGGGTGTGGGAGGGGGTGCAGCAGACTTCTCCTTTGAAGCAATGGCTGTCATCAGGTTCGCCCATTCTGGAAAAATTGCATGTATGACAAATTGAGAAAACTCAATCACGAATCTGCGATTAAAGGTTTATAAAAATAACAAGTTCCATCGTTCAAGTTTGAATCCCTTCATTGGGTATGAAAATATTGAAAAGGATTTTTGTTTTCATGTTCTCCTTTAGAATGTTTTACAGATATAATTCAATGTTCGACGTGGCAAATATCCAGGAAATTAGTTGTTCTCTGTTGAATATTTCGAGAAAGAATTGATATTTCTAACAAATATAGAGAATGCTCACTATCAATGTATATGTATATATATATTCATTTTTTCATGTTCATAATACAGGGTGTTCTTAATGACATGCTAATATTGAAGTAACTGCATATTATCATACATGTAATATCATGAGAATTGAGAGAAACAGAACAAAATCAGCATCCTTTTTTTCATCATCTGGTTCCCACGAAAAGGGATATCCTGTAATGTTCAGAGAACAGCGTGAGGACCAAGGGAAATGAGGTAGGTATTGATGTTTTTCTTAAATTTCTGGATGTTATATGCCTCGGGAAACATCTCCCTTGGCAATGTGTTCCAGAGACTCGCTGTTCGTTGGAAAGAGATGTTCTGCAGGTCTCCAAAGTGACCACGAAGGGGTGCGGAGCCTCAACTCGTCGGGTTAATCTCGCGGGGACTGCTAAGGGAGATAAAATTGTTCATATTTCAGAAGAGCATCATCCATGAAAATATCTATAAAATAGAGCCAGATCGAGGCGTGGCATCACCCACGAGACGAATTGCCCTTCTTTGGAAAGAATCCAACAGTTTCAGGGTATGTTTGGGTTCTGCACTCCAAATATGGGAACAGAATTCCAGGACAGGTCGGATCTGTGCCTCAGAGATCATAAACAGCTGACTGGAATTGAAATAGCTCCTGGCTCGATACAAGAAACCAAGTTTTTGGGATGCACTTTTAGCAATTGATCTCACGTGATTTTCCCAAGAAAGGTTATTGCTGATAGTTATAGCAAGAATCGAAATTGATGTCTTCAAAGGTATGGTTACTCCTGACAAGCTTATTTTGGGCACAGTGAGATCGGCTTTTCTAGAGAAAAGACATGCTTGTGTATTGTTTGCATTGAAATCTACCAAGTTATTGAAGCCCCATTCGAGAATCGTTGCCAAGTCCATATTTATGTTGTCAACATTTCTCCCTCGTTTATTTCTGATTTGCCTGGCTGGTGTTGGAGCCTTGGAAGATAAGGTGATATGGAGGGCACTATCATCCGCGAAGCTGTGTACTGGACATGGAGTTGCTTCCAACAAATCGTTGATATGGAGTAGAAATAGTGTTGGTGCTAGAATTGATCCCGAATCATCCTCTCAATTTTGAACAAGAATTCAATGATATTTGAATGGATTTCGAATCTATTTTCATGGTCGAAAAATAAAAAAAATTGATGAAAATAAATTATAGATACTATTCCTAACTTACTTATAATCTATCAAGTTTTCTCCATAAATGTTGACCATGGATTGGTCACACATATCGGTCGAGATGCACGTACATGCCTCGTTTTCTATTTCGGCTCTGTCTTGTGAGTTTGTATTGGGACCATAATTGACAAAAATCTGCTCTATCTCTATCTGGCAGAAGATCGTGGCATGAAGGAAGACAAAGATATAAGTGAATGCTTGCCAAACGAACATTGCCTGAAAACAAAAAGTCAAAAGTTATATACTGATATAGTTATTTTTGTATCTAGAGCGCGAAATGCTACTTTGGTGATCGAGATCTGATTTTTTAACGAGGCGTAGCCGAGTTAAAAAAATAGTCGAGATGACCAAAGTATTTCGCGCTCGAGTTGCAAACAACATTTTTTCTACAAACGTCAAAACATATATTTCTGAATTAAAAATATGCTTAGCTTGATATCAAAAATAGTGTTGAACTGGATTAAGAAGGCTTCCCCCTATCCTCCCTAGGTACGCACGATGTTCCATGAACATAATAGGAATTTCCTTTCGTGCGCTCCAAGAAATAAAACAAAGTTATTGTTGAACATTCAGAAATAAATGATTTCGTGGATGTTTGTTCGATTGAGGACCATGAAGTTGAAATATAAATATCTCATATATATTTTACATAACAATGCGCGAAGTAGGTACTTCGGGCACTGTTTTACTTCGCGCACTGCTTCGCACATTGTGTCGTGGTAACGTAGGAAACTGAAAAAAAGTGTCACTTCGCAATTTGTTATCAATGCGCGAACCTTGTCATTTTTTGACGTTTGTAGAAAAATGATTTTTTCACAAACATTCACAAAAAACAACAAAAAACCGTGAGCTAAAATCTAATATTTTTCCCGTGTATAATACTCTATTTTTTTCTGTGACAGAAGAAAGGACGAATCAATATTGAGAAGATATTACATTATTTTGAAATCTGAAAATTATCGATGTGAAATTTCGAGTTTTTAACTGTATTTAACAGTAGGGACACCTGCGTTGTAGGCATCTTTATCATCCATTTGAAGTAATCAAATATCTGATGTCACTTCTGTCAGTCCAATTCTGTGATTTGATTTCAAAAAATTGCGAATTCAGTGGTTGTTCAGTAATATACGTAACCGCGAAATAAAATGGAAGATAAAAGGACTTGCAGTTCTTTCTCGGAGACGGTATTATTGACTCATTTTTCGGAACTATAGCACAACAAAAGCCATCAACAGTGTATGTATGTATATGTGATATATATCCGGGAAAAAAGTACTCAGTAATTTATGAAAAGTGACATTTTTTAACCTGCCAACAGAGATGAAATGCCAAACTTTTTTCCCGTCACAGAAAAAAATTCTTATTGCTAAAAATTACCGCCGTTATCTTGCAAACAATCTTACAGTATATTCTCAAATTCTGTTCGAACATAACAAAAGACACCTTTTGCTATTAATCGGTATTCTTTCACAATCATCTATCGCAATACCTATAGGGTGATCCACGGTGGATGGCCTATTAGAAGTATCTGGAGAACGAAAAGACAGAACATTCTGAAAATTGAGATGTTTCGATAATTGAACATTTTCTATCCGTCTAAAATATTTTAATCGATACAGTGTTGCCACTTCATTCAGAAACATCATTTCATCAATGAATCATACTTGTGGTCTAGCAGGAATGATTACAGGAATATAGGGTGTTCAAAATCGAGATTTAGATAGTGAATCAAATTTGAGATAGGGACATGTAAGCCGTTTTGATCGATAATGAATAGTTTCGACACAAAAAAATCCTAAGATAGAAAAATTTCGACTTTGAACACCCCTATATCTCTGTAATCATAACTGCTAGACCCCAAGTGTGATATATTGATGAAATCAGCTCTCCAGGAAGAATCTAAAAATGCAATTAAATACAGGGTGTTCCATTCGAAATAACAAAGTTGCTAGTTGTTTCTGATAGAATGTTTTGTCTCCTCGTTCTCCATCAGATACTTCTAATAGGCCATCCACCGTGGGTCACCCTGTATAGTGTCCAGCAGGAAAAATTCCAAAGGGGTTGAATCAGGTTAGGTCAGGAGATCTTGGTGCGGTTTTCTGTGACGCCAATAACTGTAAAATCTCATCTGATTCGCGATGGAAAGGGCTTCAAAGTGATTTGTGAAGTAGGGTGTATTTCCATTCGAAAATACAAAGTTGGAGTTGCTGAGGGTCACATAGGCGTGCAGTACTAATTTCTTAAAGTATTTTCTGAATAGTTATCCATATTTATGATTATCTAAGATAATAAAGAGTTTCACTTACTTCAATAGTCAACTGGCTATCTATTCGAAGATTATTCACTCAGTCTATTTTGGCCAGGAATTCCTATGGGAACTGATCACAAAGTTCCTTGTTTGCGAGTATATATTATTTGGAAATTCTCACGTTATCTAGCTGTTTGACCAAGAAGTTGGTATTTACGCAGTGGAAATTCCGCCGAAGAATTTCAACTTAAAATATTTTCGATACATGGGTTTGACATGTCGGTTAATTGACGATGTAAAGAGTAAGTATACCTACAATAGTAAAGTTATATTTGACGTAGATGGTTAGACGCTGTTATCGGAACAGGAGGTTGTGGTTCTTGCAATCTATTTTTTTGATATATTATGAATATAAGAATTTTTCTGGCAGGAAGACTATAACGTCGATAGCATTCTGGATTTTCCTGCAATGGCAATGCCATTTTTTCATATGTACAGGGTGAACAACTAAGAACGGCTGTCATATCTATCATTCTTCCAACTTTGATTGTTAATATCTTCCATTGGCGAAAAGCTTTCATGTTGCGATTTTCGTTGGTCTGTTGAGATTTAGTTTCTCTATTACATCGTGTTATCATAATGCATATTTATTCTGTCTCAAACTTGTATCATTATTCGTTGCTGAGATATGGCGGGCAGCCGTTCTTAGTTGTTCACCCTGTACAGGTTGTCCCATTTTCGATGTCCATACGGGATATCTTACTATATTCACACTTATTTGCGGTTTTCGCGAACGTTTTGATTAATTTTTCGCCAGACTCACGATTCCCCAAAAAAATTTCCATTGCATTTTTGAGATACAGGGCGATATTGATAATGTTGCATTTTGGGACCCCCCTGTATCTCAGCCATCTTTCAACTTATAGGAAGAGTAAAAACTGACTTCATTATATTTTTTCAAGTAGAATCCAGTGGCGTAGTCAGATTTTCGAAGTAAGCTGTTATTATTCAGATATAACCCAATGTTTTTTTAGTTTGAATTTCTTCATATTTACCGATGATTTTCCAAATTTATCAAAGTGATTGTGTTAGTCGAGGTTGGTCGATGTATTACAATCGAATTTTTTATCGATCAAGAATATTATATACTGAGTGTCCCATTTGAAGAAATACAAAATTCCCACGTACCTGCGAGATACCCAGGTTAGGATATTTGAAACCAACCCTTTTTCTACAGATTTGACACTGCCGAACCATATTTATTGAGAAAACAGTCTGCTTTACATTTACTGAAACATGAAAACTGATCACACAACAGCTAGAAAACCAATAACAACAACAAAGACGACAAATCATAACATTTCTTACTACGATGATTGACGAAACATTGCGGTGCCGCCATGTTCATCTTTCAATAATTCATATAATTTATTTCGTTGTGTATCTCACAATAACTAATTTTATAATTATTATTAGGAGTGAGTTTCTGACAATTGAGTTGTAATGGGTGTCATGTACTATTTATGGCGAGTAGAATATTTTATCCTCTTGAATATCGATTTGGCATCGGTTCCACACAGGTCCTTTTAGAATGTGATGCCTTTTCCGTATGAGAAATAAGCGAAATGAAACACTCTTTTCAAATAGTTAATGTGAGTTCGGAATTACAAAAAAATCAGGAACCAACAAATTTCTATTGAAAAAACTCGTGTTCACATCATTCTATTTATAAAACTCGAAAGAAATATTGTCCCAAATTATTAGATCTGATACACATCCGTGTCCAAGCCGTTCAGCCTTATCTCTTCGTTGACAAACTCCCTGAACCTGTTTACGTTGACGTACACCCCTGGGGTCTTTTTCAACCCGCACCTGATGCCCCAGGCGACTATGCCCGCCTGAAATACCGGTAGGTGGTACCGGTGGGGCACACCAGAGGCATGTTTCTTTTGAACGTTTGCTTGTTCTTTTCGAGTTGAGTACTACACCGCCATTTATTCATAAACCATTGAAATATACGCCAACATTCATAAATGCCAAATATGGATGAATGAATGAAATCGTGAATGGTGGGGATAACTCAGCGGAATCATTGCCAGAGAATAGATATTCTTTGAATTTTATAACTAATGAATCGGGATTTTCGAAACTGTGTTTATGTGCATTAGTTATTCAAGTTATTTGATATTTTCAATTTTTTAAACAGGTTTTTTTTTATCAACAAAAGCATGTCTTGATGACAAGACCGTCACTGTACCAAATTTCTATGTACCTGGTTAGAATATTTTTGTAACTATAAGTTATTTTACAGGTTTGACAATGCCGGATCGTATTTATTCACAATATAGTCTGCTGTAGATTCATAATATCAAATGAGTTTCTGAAACACCGAAAACTGATCACACACAGTCGAGAAATCAATAACAACAACAAAAGCGACAGATTACATTTTCTACAACGTTTATTGCTCGTCTACTATGAAACTTTGCGGGGCCGCCAAGATCATCTTCGAATAATTCATATTTTTCATTTAGTTCTGTCATAGATCTAAATTAGATCTATGGTTCTGTTTATCTGACGATAACTAATGAGTTTATAATTATTATAAAATGAATAATAGATTTTGCCATCAGGAAGAGCTGTACAGGGTGGACAAAAAAGAATCTATGTATATGTTCAACTTTGATACCCTGTATTCTCAAAAGTTCGGAGTTCTACGAAATACGTTCATATGAAGTTTTATTCTTGAAATTGGTCTAAAAATCGCCCCTTGAATATCAGCATGTCATTAAGGAACACCCTGTATAATGAATCGGAAATTCTATAGTTGAGTCTATGTGCAATTCTCACGCATAATGATACGTCATTTTGTAACGTCTTTTTTTATCTCTTGGAGAGCACAAAAGGAAATTCCTATAAAGTTGGTGGACCATCGCGCGTACCTAGGGAAAACAGGGAGAGGAGGTCAACGAAAGCAAGCCATCGAACAAGACCGTATTACTGCATTGACACAATTTCTACGTACTTGTAAAATACCAGGTTAGGATATTTGTAACAAATTCTTTCACAAATTTGACACTGCCATATTTATTCACAAAATAGTCTGCTTTACATTTATTATATTGAATGAGTTACTGAAACACCGAATAGTAAACATACAATAGTGAATAGCCGCAAAAATATTAACAACAACGAAGTTCATAGTAGTAGTGAATTTCTGACAGTCGAGTTGTTACTGGCGTATTATTCTGTTATAAAGGTTGTTCAATTTTTCAATGTTAGATTTGGAAGCCGTCCCATAGACGTTTTTAACTAGTTTTTGTGAGCTTGGAATTACAAAAAATCAGGAACCAACAAATGTCTATTGAAAAAGCTCGTGTTCACATCGTTCCATATAAAAATCGAAATAAAAAAAGTGCCATCATCAGATTTGGTAAACTTCCGTGTCCAAACCGTAGATTCGCATCTGCTCGTCAATAAAGTCCCTGAACCTGGCCACGTTGACGTACACCCCTGGGGTCTGGTTCTCCCCGCATCCGATGCCCCAGGCGACGATTCCTGCCTGGAAGTACCTGTCGGTGGTACCGGTGGGGCACACCAGGGGGCTGCCGCCGTCCCCCTTGCACGTGTCCTTGTCCTTTTCGCCGCCAGCGCACATGAAGCTCCTGTTTGGGGGGGAAATCGAGATTAGTACTCAGTTTTTCAGAGACGTGCAGGGTGTTGGAAAGGAACATTCTCAGATATATTTATGAACACAAAACATGGATATACAGGGTGTCTGTAAAAGGTCTTTACAAAGACATACCACATATTCCTTAGACCAAAATAAGTCGATTTAATTAGAATTACCTTAGTACAAAGTTGCATCGTTTGGGCTCCAGAGGGCCTTGAAGTTACAATTTTTAAATCGTTTTTCCCATATAAATTTAAAACGGTGTATGCGATTTTGCTGAAATTTTGTATATTGATAGAATTTTAGGTGGCAAAAAAATGGTGTTGAAATTTTGTCCGATAATAATACAAAGGCGTAGAACTTGATTTTCTTAATAATTGCACCTTCAAAAATTTTACGCCAATGGAAGAAAAGGAGTTCGAGTATAAAATTTAGATTGCGCAACTCATTCATTTTTAAAAAGGTACTCTTGATAAGACTCGATTGCTCTCATGGTTTTGACGAAATTTGCATTTTAGTAATATTAGAACATGAAAAATAATTATTAAAATACAAACTTTGTCAAAACCATGAGAGTAAATCGAGTGTTATCAAGGGTACTTTTTTGTAGTAAATGAGTACCCAATCCAAATTTCATACTCTAACACCTTTTCTGCCATTGGCGTAGAACTTGATTTATCAAATAATTGCACCTTTAAAAATTTAATTAAATCATATCTTCTCTGTCCATTAAATGAAAATTGAAATGAGTAAAAAATCTGAAAGCTTGTTCAATTTAACTCAACAGATGTACTATATTTTGAACGGTCTAGCACTAAAGGTTTTTACGTTATTCGCTCTTGAAAATATCTGTGTTGAATAATAGAGTTATAGAGAAGTGACAATCCCTAACAAAATTTCAAAGTAAATGTTCGATCAAAGTTATTGAGAAACTTTGAATTAGAATGTTCCCCTTCATCATCCTGTATTTTCTAGACCAGCAAAATTTTTTTACGCATGCTAGGCTGAATTTTCATATCTTGATGGTTCTGAATATCTGTAATCTATAGTTCACAGATTGCCTATTCTTGATGAATATCCCCGTATTAGGTTCGAGGGGAAGGATTGCAACAGTTTAAAACTTTGCATGGGTACAACTATAATCGATCAAAAATGCAAATAATCTTTAGTATATCATATAAGAATGATGGTTTTTCAAAAAACCTTGAAAATTTTATCAAAATCGGCTAAAGTGTTTCGAAGCTATTGAGATAAAACTTTTTTTTTCAAATCCAAGAACTTTGTTCGATCAACATTCCTGAGTGACTTTTCAATTATCTCATTGCAATATTAAACGACCAACTATAATCGATCAAAAATGCAAAAAAGTCTAAAATCGGCTGAAGCGTTTCAAAGCTATTAATATAAAACTATTTTTTTTCTCGAATCCAACACCTTGTAGCATTTTTCCTATACTTAACTCTACACTGTTGGAACCCTTTCCGCAGTTTCCGCCAAAAGAACCTTTGTTCGATCATCCTACCTGTGCAGCTCGAAGAACCTGCCAAGTCGGGTGGTGCGCAGCTTGTCTTGGCACTGCTGGTTGGGCACCACCGGCAGATCGATCTTCTTCAGGATCACCTGGTACTTGCCCTTTTTGCCGAACACGTCTTTGCCCCAGCCGGTGGCGAAACATCTGCCCATTTGGATCACGTCGTCTTGTCGGGGCAAACAGATCAGACCTGAAAGATACATACAATTTTCACTTGTAATACCACTAGAGGTCAAATTGTTCCCGGAATTTTTTTCGAGCTCATGGATATTTTGCAAATTATTCCAAAATTTTCATGGACACTTATCCAGACCCATGAAGAAAGAATTTGATGTCAGATTTGATAGATAACTCTCCCTTTAGATTTTCAAGATCAGCGGTTCAAGCAATGCAGTAGGCTCATATAGGTGGAAGAATATTTTTTTCCTAATTGCCTTAAAAATCCCAAAAAATTCATAGACACTAATTCAGACCAATAAAGAGAGAATTTGATGTCAGATTTGATAAATAACTCTCCCTTCAGATTTTCAAAATCAGCGGTTCAAGCAATGCAGTAGGCTCATATAGGTGGAAAAATATTTTTTTCCTGATTGCCCTAAAAATCCCAAAAAATTCATAGACACTAATTCAGACCAATAAAGAAAGAATTTGATGTCAGATTTGTTAGATAACTCTCCGTTTAGATTTTCAAAATCAGCGGTTCAAGCAATGCAGTAGGCCGTAGTAGGCTCATATAGGTAGAAAAATATTTTTTTCCTGATTGCCCCAAAAATCCCAAAAAATTCATTGACACTACTTCAGACCGATGAAGAAAGAATTTGATGTCAGATTTGATAGATAACTCTCCGTTTAGATTTTCGAAATCAGCGGTTCAAGCAATGCAGTAGGCTCATATAGGTGGAAAAATATTTTTTTCTGTGACGGGTAAAAAGTTTGGCATTTCATCTCTGTTGGCAGGTTATAAAATGTCACTTTTCATAAATTACTTTTTTCCCGTGGGAAAAAAGTGAGTACTTTTTTCCCGGATATATATCACATATATATATACTCTGTTAATGGCTTTTGTTGTGCTATAGTTCCGAAAAATGAGTCAATAATACCGTCTCCGAGAAAGAACTGCAAGTCCTTTTATCTTCCATTCGACTTCGCGGTTTCGTATATTACTAAACAACTACTGGATTCGCAATTTTTTAAAATCAAATCACTGAATTGAACTGACAGAAGTGACATCAGATATTTGATTACTTCAAAAGAATGATAAAGATGTCTATAAAACGCAGGTGTCCCTACTGTTAAAAACTTGAAATTTCACGTCGATAATTTTCAGATTTCGAAATAATGTAATATCTTTCCAATATTGATTCGTCCTTCCTTCTGTCACATAAAAAAATAGTGTATTATACACGGGAAAAATATTAGATTTTAGCTCACGGTTTTTTGTCTCCCTCCGCTACGCGTCGGGAGACAACACAACCTGGAGCTAAAATCTACTACTTTTTTCCCTTGTATAATAAATAACTATTTTTCCTGATTGCCCTAAAAATCCCAAAAAATTCATAGACACTAATTCAGACCCATAAAGAAAGAATTTGATGTCAGATTTGATAGATAACTCTCCGTTTAGATTTTCGAAATCAGCGGTTCAAGCAATGCAGTAGGCTCATATAGGTGGAAAAATATTTTTTTCCTGATTGCCCTAAAAATCCCAAAAAATTCATAGACACTAATTCAGACCAATAAAGAAAGAATTTGATGTCAGATTTGATAGATAACTCTCCCTTTAGATTTTCAAAATCAGCGGTTCAAGCAATGCAGTAGGCCGTAGTAGGCTCATATAGGTGGAAAAATATTTTTTTCCTGATTGCCCTAAAAATCCCAAAAAATTCATAGACACTAATTCAGACCAATAAAGAAAGAATTTGATGTCAGATTTGATAGATAACTCTCCGTTTAGATTTTCAAAATCAGCGGTTCAAGCAATGCAGTAGGCTCATATAGGTGGAAAAATATTTTTTTCCTGATTGCCCTAAAAATCCCAAAAAATTCATAGACACTAATTCAGACCAATAAAGAAAGAATTTGATGTCAGATTTGATAGATAACTCTCCCTTTAGATTTTCAAAATCAGCGGTTCAAGCAATGCAGTAGGCCGTAGTAGGCTCATATAGGTGGAAAAATATTTTTTTCCTGATTGCCCTAAAAATCCCAAAAAATTCATAGACACTAATTCAGACCAATAAAGAAAGAATTTGATGTCAGATTTGATAGATAACTCTCCGTTTAGATTTTCAAAATCAGCGGTTCAAGCAATGCAGTAGGCTCATATAGGTGGAAAAATATTTTTTTCCTGATTGCCCTAAAAATCCCAAAAAATTCATAGACACTAATTCAGACCAATAAAGAAAGAATTTGATGTCAGATTTGATAGATAACTCTCCGTTTAGATTTTCAAAATCAGCGGTTCAAGCAATGCAGTAGGCTCATATAGGTGGAAAAATATTTTTTTCCTGATTGCCCTAAAAATCCCAAAAAATTCATAGACACTAATTCAGACCAATAAAGAAAGAATTTGATGTCAGATTTGATAGATAACTCTCCCTTTAGATTTTCAAAATCAGCGGTTCAAGCAATGCAGTAGGCCGTAGTAGGCTCATATAGGTGGAAAAATATTTTTTCCTGATTGCCCTAAAAATCCCAAAAAATTCATAGACACTAATTCAGACCCATAAAGAAAGAATTTGATGTCAGATTTGATAGATAACTCTCCGTTTATATTTTCGAAATCAGCGGTTCAAGCAATGCAGTAGGCTCATATAGGTGGAAAAATATTTTTTTCATGATTGCCCTAAAAATCCCAAAAAATTCATAGACACTAATTCAGACCAATAAAGAAAGAATTTGATGTCAGATTTGATAGATAACTCTCCCTTTAGATTTTCAAAATCAGCGGTTCAAGCAATGCAGTAGGCTCATATAGGTGGAAAAATATTTTTTTCCTGATTGCCCTAAAAATCCCAAAAAATTCATAGACACTAATTCAGACCCATAAAGAAAGAATTTGATGTCAGATTTGATAGATAACTCTCCCTTTAGATTTTCAAAATCAGCGGTTCAAGCAATGCAGTAGGCTCATATAGGTGGAAAAATATTTTTTTCCTGATTGCCCTAAGAATCCCAAAAAATTCATAGACACTAATTCAGACCAATAAAGAAAGAATTTGATGTCAGATTTGATAGATAACTCTCCGTTTAGATTTTCAAAATCAGCGGTTCAAGCAATGCAGTAGGCTCATATAGGTGGAAAAATATTTTTTTCCTGATTGCCCTAAAAATCCCAGAAAATTCATAGACACTAATTCAGACCAATAAAGAAAGAATTTGATGTCAGATTTGATAGATAACTCTCCGTTTAGATTTTCAAAATCAGCGGTTCAAGCAATGCAGTAGGCTCATATAGGTGGAAAAATATTTTTTTCCTGATTGCCCTAAAAATCCCAAAAAATTCATAGACACTAATTCAGACCAATAAAGAAAGAATTTGATGTCAGATTTGATAGATAACTCTCCGTTTAGATTTTCAAAATCAGCGGTTCAAGCAATGCAGTAGGCTCATATAGGTGGAAAAATATTTTTTTCCTGATTGCCCTAAAAATCCCAAAAAATTCATAGACACTACTTCAGACCAATAAAGAAAGAATTCGATGTCAGATTTGATAGATAACTCTCCGTTTAGATTTTCAAAGTCAGCGGTTCAAGCAATGCAGTAGGCCGTAGTAGGCTCATATAGGTGGAAAAATATTTTTTTCCTGATTGCCCCAAAAATCCCAAAAAATTCATAGACACTACTTCAGACCAATAAAGAAAGAATTTGATGTCAGATTTGATAGATAACTCTTTGTTTAGATTTTCAAAGTCAGCGGTTCAAGCAATGCAGTAGGCCGTAGTAGGCTCATATAGGTGGAAAAATATTTTTTTCCTGATTGCCCTAAAAATCCCAAAAAATTCATAGACACTAATTCAGACCAATAAAGAAAGAATTTGATGTCAGATTTGATAGATAACTCTCCGTTTAGATTTTCAAAGTCAGCGGTTCAAGCAATGCAGTAGGCTGTAGTAGGCTCATATAGGTGGAAAAATATTTTTTTCCTGATTGCCCTAAAAATCCCAAAAAATTCATAGACACTAATTCAGACCAATAAAGAGAGAATTTGATGTCAGATTTGATAGATATCACTCCCTTTAGATTTTCAAAATCAGCGGTTCAAGCAATGCAGTAGGCTCATATAGGTGGAAAAATATTTTTTTCCTGATTGCCCTGAAAATCCCAAAAAATTCATGGACACTAATTCAGACCAATATAGAAAGAATTTGATGTCAGATTTGATAGATAACTCTCCCTTTAGATTTTCAAAATCAGCGGTTCAAGCAATGCAGTAGGCTCATATAGGTGGAAAAATATTTTTTCCTGATTGCCCTAAAAATCCCAAAAAATTCATAGACACTAATTCAGACCAATGAAGAAAGAATTTGATGTCAGATTTGATAGATAACTCTCCGTTTAGATTTTCAAAATCAGCGGTTCAAGCAATGCAGTAGGCTCATATAGGTGGAAAAATATTTTTTTCCTGATTGCCCGAAAAATCCCAGAAAATTCATAGACACTAATTCAGACCAATAAAGAAAGAATTTGATGTCAGATTTGATAGATAACTCTCCGTTTAGATTTTCAAAATCAGCGGTTCAAGCAATGCAGTAGGCCGTAGTAGGCTCATATAGGTGGAAAAATATTTTTTTCCTGATTGCCCTAAAAATCCCAAAAAATTCATAGACACTAATTCAGACCAATAAAGAAAGAATTTGATGTCAGATTTGATAGATAACTCTCCGTTTAGATTTTCAAAATCATCGGTTCAAGCAATGCAGTAGGCCGTAGTATAGGCTCATATAGGTGGAAAAATATTTTTTCCTGATTGCCCTAAACATCCCAAAAATTCATAGACACTAATTCAGACCAATAAAGAAAGAATTGATGTCAGATTTGATAGATAACTCTCCGTTTAGATTTTCGAAATCAGCGGTTCAAGCAATGCAGTAGGCTCATATAGGTGGAAAAATATTTTTTTCCTGATTGCCCTAAAAATCTCAAAAAATTCATAGACACTAATTCAGACCAATAAAGAAAGAATTTGA